AAATGAAGATATCGAATAAATAACCTAAGGTACAACTCAAGATCTTAGAAAAACAAGACTAGGCCGAATCCAAAAGCAGTAAGAAACAAGAAATAATAAGCATCAGACCAAAAATTAATGACATGGACGCTAAAAGAACAGTAAAACTCAATCAAGGAGATAGCTCTTTGGGAAGATAAATAAGATTAACAAACCCCTAACTAAACTAACTTAGAGAAATGGAGGAAAAAACCCGTTAGTAAAATTAGAGATGAAAAAGGCTATGTTAAAAAATATTCTATGAAATCCAGAGCATCATTAAAGAATGCTTTGAAAACATATATTCAAAAAGACTAGAAAATATAGAATAAATGCATAAATCCCTAGATATATATGACCTTCAAAAACTAAATCAAAATGATGTAAACGACTTAAAGAGATTCACAACACTCAATGGGTGTGAAGCAAAAATCAAAGTAGCCCAACGCTAACGTGCTGAGGGTACTGGGTGCTGACTTCTTTACTGTACCCTGGACTTTATAACATTATACAATGAACACATTTTTTAAATGATAAAATAATAAAAGTTTATGATTATAAAATGATTTTTAAACATTGAAGCTATAAAAGAAAAGGTATCATGACAAAGAAAATCCTTGGACTAGTCAGATTTATTCCCAATTTTTCCAAACATTTGTGCAAGAGCTAACAAGAATATTCTTCAAACTCATTCTACAAAGCCAGTATTACTCTGATAACAAAATTGGATAAGGGGACACAGAGAGAGGACAGGAGGAGAATTATATATCAATTTTCCTAATGAACAGAGATGTAAAAATCCTCAAGAATATTCTTGCAAATCATATTCAAAAGTACATTTAGAAGATCATGAACTATGACTAAGTTAGTTTCATCCAATGGATGCAAGGTTGGCTCAACATATGCAAATCAACAAATGTAATACAACACATAAACAATCTTAAAGACAAGAATCACATTATCATCTTTTAGATTAAGAGAAAGCCTTTAACAAAGAAATATCCCTCTCATTAGAACTGAAAAATGGGAATAGAATGAATATATCTCAACATAACAAAAGTTATATAAATAGCCAACATAATACTAAACTGGGGAAAACCTGAAAGAATTTCCTCTAAAATCAAGAGCAAGACAAAGGTGCTCACTTTCACTGATCTCATTCAATATGGTGCTCAAAGTCATAACTGGAGCAAAAAGACAAGAGAACTACATAAGTTACAAATAAGAAAGGAAGGGGCTGGAGAGATGCTCAGCGGTTAAGAACACTGGTTGCAGAAGACCTGGATTCGAATCCCAGCACCCACATGGCAGCTAACAACTCTCCATAACTGCAGCCCCAGGGGATCCGACAGCCTCTTCTGAGGGTCATAGGAATGGAAGAAGTCAGATTATCCCTCTTTGGAGACAATATGATCCTATAATGAAAAGACCTCAATGCCTCCTCTAGAAAACCTGTAAACTTGATAAATATTTTCAGCAAAGTAGCAGCATACAAATCATCACATAAAAACCAGTATTTTCTCAGCATACCAAACATGCTGAGAAAAAAACTCAGGGAGGAAAAAAAAAAAAAACGAATAGCCTCAAGAAAAGAAAAATAGGGGCTGGAGAAGATGGTTCAGCAGTTAAGAGCAGTGACTGCTTTTGCAGAGAATCCAGGTTTGATTCCCAGGATCCACCCTGTGGTTAACAACTGTCAGCAACTCCAGTTTCAAGGGAATTCGATGCCCTCTTCTGACCTCTGTGGTCATTGAACAAAACAGGTGCACTTACATACATTCAGGCAATACACTCATGCACATAAAAATAAAATATTTTTTAGAAAGAAAAGTAAAATAACCAGGCATGGTAGCACATGCCTTAGTTCCCAGCACTCACTCCAGGCCCGCCACAGCTACAGCCTTTCCTCCCCACACAAAAAAGCAAGATATCTATAGCTCGGAATGAGCCTACCTAAGGTAAAAGGGCTCTTCTTAAGACACTGAAGAAAGACATTGAAGAAGATACTAGAAGATGGAAAGACCCCACATACTAATTAATTTTCAGAATTAATATTGTAAAACTGGATTCATTGCCAAAAGTGGTCTACAGATGCAATGCAATTCTCATCAAAATCTAAATTGCATTTTTTACAGAGCTAAAAAAAAGAAAGAAGAAGGAAAGAAAGAAAGAAAGAAAGAAAGAAAGAAAGAAAGAAAGAAAGTTAGTTCTAACATTCATGTTGGAAACACAGGAAACCCCAAATAGCCATCCTAAACAGAAAGAGAAATGCAGACGGCATCATAATACCTGACCCTAAATTATACTACATAACCATACTAACAAAAACTATGGTATTGACCTCAAAACAGACTTGTAGACCAATGGACTGGAATAGAGAACCTAAAAATAAGTCCACACAACTACAGCCATCCAATTTTTTACAAAGATGTCAAAACATTTATATATTGGAAAAAGACTTTGCTGATACACATCAGACAAGAATTTAGATTATAAAAATATAAAGAAATGTAAAAATTAAATACCAAAAGAACAAATCATTCAATCAATAAATAGGCATTAGCTGAATAAACTGTTCTTGAAATTATACAAACTTGTGGATATAGACCAGTGGTGAAATGCTTGCCTGCTAAGCATAAGACCCTGGGTTCAGTCCTCACCAATAAAAAAAAATGGCACAAATGGCAAATAAATATTTGAAAAAGTGTTCAACATCTTTAGCCATCGGGTAAATACAAATTAAAACTACTCTGAAATTCCCTCTCACCCCCAATCAGAATGGCTATCATCAAGAAGATTAATGCCGTGCTGGAGAGATGACTCTGCAGTTAAGAGCACTTGCTGCTCTCACAGAGGACCCAAGTTCCACTCCCAGTACCCACATCAGGCCACTCACAACCACTTTTAACTCCAGCTTCAGGGCATCTGGTATACTCTCTCTGCCTTCTCAAGCACCACATGCACATGTGCATACAAACATGCAGACATACACACACATATAAATGAAATAAACCTTTTTCTTAAAAAATTTCAAAAATTTAAATATAGAACTACCATATGACCCAACCACATGGCCCTTGGCTGTACACCAGAAGAACTCTAAGTCAGCATAACACAAAGATACATTACACTCATGTTTATTGCTGTATTATCCTCACAGTAGCTAAGAAATGGAACCAACTTAGATGTCCAACAATAGATAAATGGATAAAGAAAGTGTGGGTACAAATACACAATGGTATTTTATTCAACTATAAAGAAAAATTAAATTATGCCATCTTCAAGAAAATGGATACAATGGGAGACTGTTAAATGAAATAACCCAGACTTGAAAAAAAATAATACTACATGTTTTCTCTCATGTGAAATCTGATTTGCATACACGCATATGCATGCATGTGTGCGTGTGCATGTGTGTGTGTGTGTGTGTGTGTGTGTGTGTGTGTGTGTGTGTGTGTAGTAGGAAGGGAACCATGAGAGAGGAGGAAGAGATCTTAAGGGAGAGAAGGACAAAGAGAATAGTGGTACTTGTGTGATATGAAAACAAAATGAGGATCATTTGGTGGAGAAAGGGACCCAGTCAGAGTGAGGCAAGGGAGATGGAGGAGGACAGCAGTATTCTAGTTTGTTTCTCCATTGCTGAGACAAAACACTCTGACCAATACCAACATGGGGAGGAAAGGGTTTATTTGGTTTACATCTCCCTGGTCACATCTCATCACTTAGGGAGCCCAATGTAGGAATTCAGGGCAGGACCCTGGGGGCAGGAGATGGATGGAACACAGGCCATGAAGGAACACAGCTTGCTGGCTTGCTCCACTGGCCCCTGCTCAGCCCGCTTTCTTACACAACATAGGGCCACCTACCCAGGGGTGGCACCACCCATAGTGGCCTGGGCCCTTCCACATCACTCAATAATCAAGAAGATACCCCACAGACATGGCCACAGGCCAGTCCAATGGAGGCAGTTCACCATTTGAGGCTCCCTATACTCAGATGTGTCAAGTTGACACTGAAGCTATCCAGCACAAGAGGGGTTAGGAGATCAGTAAGAGTAAGTATATGATATATATTATGAAAATGCCACAATGAAATCCATTATCTTGTATCCTGAGTTTTAAAGTAATTTTAAAAATAAGAGGTTTTTAAAAAACTGGAAGCCCTTTGAAATTTCCCATTAGTTAGTTATGCTAGTAAATACATATGTGATCAGTGAGGAAAGGGATGAGGATCAGCAGCACAGCAAGTACCCAGCATGTGTGAGGTCTTAGATTCAATCTCTCCACTCTCCCTTCCTCCCTCCATCTCTCTCTCTCTCTCTCTCTCTCTCTCTCTCTCTCATATACAGGCACTAAAGAGCAAGCACTACTGTCTGACTCAATATCTCCAAACTAAAAGTAGCTGAATTGGCCCCCTCTGACCAGATTTTCTTAGGCAGCTCAATCCTAATCATATCAGATACCAGATAAAGGCTCCATGGTGTGTGGAGCCTCATGTTAGACAGACATGCTTTGCAGACTGAGAAAATAAGTCTAAGACAATTCCTTGTGCACTTAGTTGCAAGATTTTCAGGTTTTATTCTGAAGAGATGGGTTTTCCCTATTCCTCTTTCAAAGCTCTTCTCTGTTCCTCATTAAAATTTGAATCACATTTTGTTATTATCCTCATGAAAAGATTTAAGAAATCTAAGATTAAAATTAAATTGAAGCTGTACATGATGGCACACACTTGCAATCCCAGCACTCAGGAAGCTGAGGCAGGAGGATCATGAGTTTGAAGTCATCTGGGGCTGCATGGTGAGACTATGTCTCACAAACACTTAAATAAAAAATAAATAAAGTAGTCAATCATACTATTTTAGTGAAAATATCCTGATTTGAAAATGTCTCTATATTTCCGCTACGTATATTATCTTTTCAGTCTGTTACACTTAGTATTTCACATGATATTTATGTTAACCTGTATTCTTCTTTTTATTTCAGGGTAATGAGGAAAAACAAAATTAATCACTTAAATGAACATACATTTATGCACCTCAAGAAACTAGATGAATTGTAAGTTTAACTAAAAATGTATTAAGAATGCTCTTTCCACTGCCTGGTATCATATTTGTTATTCATACATTTAAATATTTAAGAAATATTAATACCTTCTCTCCAAACATTTATATGCCATATGGGTCACAGGGCAATTCAGATAGCTTATAAAAGAAAATACAAAATAAAATATGAAATAAATATTTGAGAAAAGCAGAATAAAGGAAACATAGCTGTAGAGAAGGACTAGAACCAAGGTAGAATGAAGAAATAAAACACATCCTACGTCGCTCTATTCGTTGCTCCAAAAGCACAGAAAATTTGTCCTTCAGTTTCCCAGGGCTTCACATTCAGAAGCCACCGATGGAAAGATATCACTCTTCTAAGTTAAAGGAGACTCTCAGATCCATAAGGAAATGAAATACTGCCATAGATAATATCCCTGTCCATAGTGATGGAAGAGAGATGCATTCAAAATGGTTATTTTGTAGTGTCCCTTGTGATATCAATAGCATGGCTGCAAAGAGCATAAAGAAATTCTGTGATGAACTAAAAGACTTATGATCAAGGCACATACTTAGTTGATGGTCATAATAAAATAGATATGAGTGATCAAAGCAGGGCCTACCCTTTAGGTCCTTGTTTATTTTTTAGTATAAACTTTTCTGGAAAGAATCTGCAATGAAGACATATCTGTGTTTAACAGTTAGCTGAGGCAAATATTTATTTACTAAGACCTTTCCATAAAAATTAAAGAATGTGGATAGAATGTTAGGAACACTCAGACAGCTTCTGTAGGTGTGGGACAGGTGAAGGAATACATTGCCGTGAGCAGGAACATCTATCAGAAAACAGTCCTGTATTCTGCTCCAAAACATGAGCACATGAGCCATTGAAAACACAGCACCTTTTCTGTAATGATTAGTTGAGACATTTTTTACTAGGCACTACTGGTCATTCACAAAATGTGCACCCAAATCTCAAGAGATCATTAGAACCAGGGCCCTGTAGTCAGAACTCCTGGTATATGGCAATCAAATCTTATCATCAGTATATAGGAAATTATTTTTAACAACAGGGAGAGATGCAGCTAGGTGACCCAAAGGTATTTACTAGTTAGTAAAATACAAGTTAGTCAAGGGATCCATATTTTCTTTGTTACATCCAACTTGAAATCATTACATAAATATCAGGGGACAGTTCCTCCAAAACCCAGTCTCCATAGCAGCTCTGTGTGTAGACTCTGTAACGGCAACTATCAGTGAACACAGAACGCCAGCCTTAATGCATAACCAGTGTCTAACTAGGCTCACAGACAAAGAAAAGGATAACCAGGGTTAAGCATTAGCCCTGCCTAAAGCCTGCCTTAATCCTACATGAAACACTTGCTTGAAAACTCAGATTTGCAAGGTATGTTCTCCAGAAGGAGATGGTTGTCAGATAGGCCTAGATTTAAATTCAAGCTTTACAAGAGACCGGAGTCCAACCCCTCTGGGAAAACCATGGCAGTAACCAACATTCACTTGTCACAGAAAACCTTAAGTAGTTCCTGAGATAGAAATTTTTGTTATGTGTTTGCTTTCATTTGTGATTTTAGAGTCAACTACTCATGGTCTAAGAGTGTAGCTCAATGACAGAGCACTTGCTTAGCATGTGGAAGGCCCTGGGTTCAATCTCCTGCACTAGAAATAATAATTATTATTATTATTATTATTATTAAAAAATAATAATAATAGTAAAAGTCACCTAATCTCATTAAAAAGTGTATCCAGAAATGGATCTTGAGTCCAGTTAAGTGTAGCCCACTGTTTTAAACTGAAGCTAACAAAATGGACCTTTTGTATCACTTGGAATTTAGGCCAGCACTGTCCCAACCACAAAACTCTGGCTGGACGATACAGGTTCACTTCCACCGGAAACCACTGAACATGGTATTTGGAGCTTTAATATCCTAGTGGACTACTGTGGTCTTGCACATCATGTTTATAATATGATCAGTATTTTACTTGGCTTCCCATTCAAGGAACGGGAATCTTGCCCCACTTTTTGTCTAAATGTGAAACAGACAAACTCAGACTATTAGTAGTCTTCTAAGTGGGGGTGGAAAGAATAGCTACTCCTAAAATGAACCAGGCACTTGGGGTCTGAGATGGAGAGGTAGTTCTTAGACTCAAAGAGCCCAGGTCCTCAGAGGGAAGCACGTGTGTACAGGTAGATTTAACATAATGCTGTATGTGCTCTGGAAGAAGCCTGCAATAGGAATACATAGGAGAATAGGGGAGAGCACACCTACCATCCTAGGTGCCAAAGGTATTGCACAGGGTACATTTGTGGGGGATCTTAAAGGACGACTAAGAGATCAAGAGGGCAGGAGGAAAGGGCCATGACAGGCAGGAGGAAGCCCACACAGAGCACAACTTTGGAGCTCTGGAGCTTGCTCAGGCTATGAGGAAGTGCCTGTGAATAGGTAGGAGCAGGAAATAAATTTAGAAAAATATGTCGCTATTTAAAAACATTTGTAGTTTTGATTTTTGTCATCTAGGCAATAGTAAGCTGTGGAAAGGATTTGTGAAAGCATAAAAGTTTACAAAGATTCCTTTGTCAAATCAGAACAATGCATCTTCATAGACAATTACTCATAAATATTCAATAACATCTTGGGACTACAAGATTCAGTTTATATGTGGAAATAAGGCATTCACTGCAACAACATTGCTGTTTGTCAGATTTTATCAACCATTTCCTTTTAGTGTTAAAAAACTCAATCAAGTGTTGGGCATGGTGGCACAGGCCTTTATTACTTGGGAGGCAGAGGCAGACAGATCTCTGTGAGATTGAGGCCAGCCTGGTCTATGTCTGTATAGTGAGTGCCAGACCAGCTACAGGCCCTGTCTCAAAAAGACGAGAAAAAAAAAAAAAAAAAAAAAAAACTCAATCAAGCTAGGTGGTACATAACTGTAATCTCAGAGCTCAGGAGGCAAAGGACAGAAGACCATAACTTCAAGGCCAGCCTAGACTAGATAGTGAGATCTTATCTAAAAACAACAGTCTCAGTCAAAAATCATCCTGCCTCTCAAAGTTGATTTATTAACTAACCGACATAGGTAACAAATACATCTTTTCTCCTACTTCTCCCACAAAAGGTGGACGGGAGACCTTGTGTTCTCTATTATATAACTCATGATCACCTTAGCAAGCTCAAGCTTATTGAAACTTTTTCTTGTTTAGAAGAAGCTGAGGCCTTTCTCGTGAATTCTGCCAGTGTCAAAACTGCAAGAGCTGCAGCCCTGAGAGCTCCTTTCAGCCGAGCCACAAGGTCGTATCATGTTAGGCACTCCTCTGCACACGTGTGTAATGACACAAAAAAAGTGTCCTGCCCAGGAGAGTATGAGATTGTGCATTTCAGCTGTGAAAGGAACTTGAACCTCATGGCATGTTTCCATTGGATAATTATAATAAACCAGAGCATCAAATCATGTTCTTACTCAAACGCAAAAGAAGAAAAAAAGAAGGGAATAAATGAACCCATACATATGTTAAATAGAAATTTTAATCTACAAAAACCAGATGAAATACCATCAAGGACTTTTCTCCAAGGAAATATGAAATGGAATTTTAAAACCTAAGGGATGACTGAGCATAGTAGTGCATGCCTTACAATTCTTACACTTGGGAGGCAGAGGCTGGCAGATCCTTGTGTGTACAGGGTCAGACAGGATTACATAATGAGACCCTGTCTCAAAAAAAAAATGTGTTTTGAGGAAGAGATGTGAGGCAGGGTCTTCTGTAGCTTGGACTGGCTTTGAACTCACTACGCAGCTGAGGATGTCCTTGAACTTCCAATGCCACTTCCCAAATGTTGGGATTATGGGTTTGTGCCACCATGCCTGACTCTGGATAAAATGCTTTGTTTCCCCATTTTACACCCCTGCCCCCCTTTTTTAAGCTTCTGTACTTCATGGATCTTGAGGCAGAGCTCAGGGGTAGGGCAGCATGCTGAGCAAGCACAAGGCTGTGAGTTCAATCTCCAGCACCAAGGGAACACTCCTTTCTCTTGGTATTTAATATAATTCACTAATGGTGCTGTTGCAAAGTTATAAAATGATTTCCTAATGAATTTCCTAACAATGAAGAATATCTTTGAAAAATAACATGACATGTTTGCAATTATTTCTCTAGGGATTTAGGAAGTAATAAAATTGAAAATCTTCCACCGCACATATTTAAGGATCTGAAGGAGCTGTCACAATTGTAAGACATTATCTTGCCACTTCATTGCTTTCTGTTATTTTTTAATTGCAGTAAAATATGCATAGCATTGAATGATACACCTGTCAGTGTATTGTTGGATTGCATCAAGTACAGACATCCAGTTGTGTGACTGTTACCAACATCCACCTCCAGAATTCTTCCTTAGTGCAAAACCAAAACTGTAGCCATCAAACACGAATTCCCCATTCATCCTTCCCCAGCCTGGACAACTACTGTTCCATTTACTCTCTTCATAAATCAGACTAATCTACGTGTCTCATATAATTGAAATCACACCATAGTCACCATTTTGTGTCTGGCCGAAATCCCTTACCATGTCTGCACAACCCAGTCAGTGTTACAGTGTCAGTCAGAATTTCCTTTGCTTTCGAGGCTGAACAACATTCTATATGTACCACACATTGTGTATAAAAATCCTCCAATGCAGGGACACTTGGTTGCCTCCACTTTTCAACTAATTTGAATAATGCTCTTGTGAACATAAGTATGCAAATTTGTATCTGAATTTCTACATTCAGTTATCTGGGTTACATGCTGCTTCTCAATTTACAATTAGATTATACCTAATAAAGGTATCATCATTTGGAACTATCATGTCAAGACTCTATTAAATACACTTATCCTACCAGCCATCATAACTTAGAACACAGTGCACTGTAGAATAGCGATTTTTTTTACCCTTGTGTTTCCATGGCTGACTGGAAAGTGTGGCCCACTACTACATCATAGCACATACTACTAGCCCAAGGAAAGGTCAAAATTCAAAGTGAAAATGTCTCTCTTTCTCCCCCTTCCTCCATCTCTCCCTCTCTCCCTCTCCTACTAAGTCATACACCTACCTTCAAAATACAGCTTCCACTAAGGGTATATATTGCTTTTCTATGTTGTAAAGTGAAAATCCTAAGACAGAGCCCACCTGCAGAAATATAATTGCTGGATCACAGGGTAATTCTAGTTTTGTTATGTATTTATTTCTGTTTTCCATTGGAATTGTGCCAATTTGCATTTTCTTTACAAGTGCAGTTTCTATAATCCTCTCAACACATTTTGATTTTTTTATCGCAGCTTTCTTAGTGGATATAAGATTCCTTAAGGATCTGATTTGCATTTCTCTAATAGTAGTGATATTGAGTACCTTTTCTGTGTGCTTGGAGAAAAATATATTCAAGTTATTTGCCCACTTTTAAATAAAATTTTTATGGTTTATTCATTTATTTTTATATAATATGTATGAGTGTTTTGCCTGCAAGTATGTAAGTGCATGACCTGTGCACAATGCCCACAGAGATAAGAAGAGGGCATCAGATGCCCCAGAATTGGAGTTACAGACAGTTGTTAGCCACTATGTGGATGCTAGAACTGAATCCAGGTCCCTCTGCAAGAGCAGCCAGTGCTCTTAACTGCGGAGTTATCTCTCCAGCCTCTAAATGAACTCTTTTTTTATTTTTTTTAACCTTTATTTCTTTTTTTAATTTTTTTTAAATTATTTATTTCATAACCAAATGATTAGAAGAGGCATTTCATTACAACAGCATTGACATATTCAATAACAATTTCCAGAGCTAAGATGCTTCTCTTTCAAAATTGGCTGTAAATTATTAGGTTTATAGTTAATACAACTGTATTACTGTATTGTACTCCGTATAATCCCTATAAGACATAAAATTAAATGAGGTTTTAAACTTTGAAAAAGATCTCCATTTCATTAATAAAATACACAGTTTCATACTGAAAACTTCACTTTTAATACAACTAACACTAAGATGCATATGCATTTCTAATCTCTATATATCTGATTATTACTAGACACAGTTGGTTCTTTCTGAGCTCCTTAGCATCTGAGCATGGATATAAAGTCATCAGGTAGATTTCAATGGTAATGTTATTCACATCTACTAATTATTAAGGAGCAAATTTTTATGCTTTGAAGAATTTTTTTTTATACATCCACTACCCAGGTAGCACCCTCCCATCTTGTCAGCACCCCAGCCATTCCCCACTACTTGTCCTTCTGGTGACTCTAGTCAGCTTATCTAGAGGTTTTCATTTTTCTTTAAGATTTTATTTTTACTTTATGTGTATGAGTGTTTTACTTACATGTATCTAAGTGTACCACATGTGTGTCTGGTGCTTTCAGGTGCCAGAAGAGGGTATTGGTGGCCCTGGAACTGGAGTTAAGAATGGATGTTAAGAATAGATGAAGTGCTGGGAACCAAATCTGGGTCCTCTGCAAGAGTAGCCAGTGCTCTTACCTGCTGAGGCATCTCTTAACTTCTTAAATGAACTCTTCCTCCTGTTACTGAGTTTTAGTTCTTTATCCATCCTGGGTGACTGCTCCTTTATAGACATATGACTTACAAATACCCCAACCCTTTTGTATGGGTTACATTTTTCCTCTGTCAGTGACCTTTCATTCTAGCATTTTAATTTTAATGTGGTATCAGGTTTCTTTTCTTCATTGTCTATATTTTCAGTTTCACATCCAAGACACTGACAAATTCATTCCAAATCCAAATCCAAGAAGTTTTCCCTCTGAGTTTTCTTCTAGGCACTTTATAGATTTATATTTAGTCCTTTGGTCCATTTGGAGTTAACTTATGTACATGGTACAAGGTAAGAGTCTAGCTCTATTCCTTTGTATGAAGTGATCCAGTTTTCCAACACCATTGATTGAAAAGACTTATTGAATGGCCTCGATGCCTGTGTCAAAAAATCATATGACTATGTCTGAATGGGGTGTCCCTGGCCTCTGTACTCTATCTTTTTGTTCTACACACCTGTGGGGTATTGCACAATCCTTTATTTTACTTCTTTTAAATTTTATTTATTATTTTTATTTTATGTGTATGCGTATATTGCCTGCATGTTTGTAAGTGCACCCGTGTCGTGCAATGCCGCAGAGGTCAGAAGAGGCTGTCAGATCCCCTGGGACTGGAGTTACAGACAGTTGTTAGCTGCCATATGGGTGCTGGGATTCCAACCCGGGTCTTCTGCAAGAACTACCAGTGTTCTTAACCACTGAGCCATCTCTCCAGTCCTGTTTTACTTTTTTAAGATTGTTTTTGTTATGCAGGTTCCCTAGATGTTCCATATGAATTCATGACATTTAATCTGGACTGGGTCTTCCACATGATGAGCACAGGATCTTCCCCTTCATTGGTTTTGACTTAGTCCATTTTCTGCTACTATAACAGAATATCACCTGGCTAATTTTTTTTATTCATTATTTTTTATTTATGTGTATGAGTGTTTTGCCTGCATGTATGTAAGGGTACCTGTTGTCATGCAATGCCCTCAGAGGTCAGAAAAGGGCATCAGATCCCCTGGAACTGGAGTTACAGGATGGTTGTTAGCTACAATGTAGGTGCTGGAAACCAAACCCAAGTGTTCTGTAAGAGCAGCCACTGGGCCATCTCTCCAGCTCCCACCTGGCTAATTTATAAACAATATAAGTTTATTCAGCTCACTGTTCTGGAGACTAGAAATCCAAAAGTGAAGGCCACTTCTGGTGAACACCTTCTTGCTGTGTCACAATATTGTCAGAGGCATCACAAGAGAGTATGGAAGAGATGTTTGGAGGCAAACTTTCCTTCTTTCAGAAGCCCACTCCCAAAATGATGGTATCAATGCATGCAGAAGGGCAGAGCTCTCACAGACTAACCATCCTTTGGAAGTCTTGTCTCTTAATACCATCATAATGGGAATGAAATTTTGACATGAGCTTTGGAGGGGACATTCAAACCATAGCAGGTATCATCTTCAAAACTTTTTTTTTATGTTTTAGGATACAAAATAGAAGATTTAGTTATGACAGTTCCACACACATACCACTATACTTTGTCCATATTCACCCCTGTCCTTCCCCTTCTTCCCCCAATGGTGCCCCTTTTGTTTTCATGCCATATATATTATATATGGTCCACAGAGAAAACACTCACATTTGTCTTTCTACCCCCATTGCGTCCTCATTCCCCCATCCCCACTCTCTTCAATTTCTTTCAGCAATATTTTCCAGTTTTCAGTAATCACATCTTTCACCTCTTTTATTTTATCCTTTAGATGTTATTTTAATAGGATTGTTTGCCTAATTTCTTTATGGCATTGTTATTGTGTATAGAAACACAAATGATTCTTTTTTAATATTTTATTATTTTTATTTTATGTGTATGCATGTATTGCCTGCATGTAGGTAAGTGCACCCATGTCGTTCAATGCCCATGGAGGACAGAAGAGGCTGTTGGATCCCCTGGAACTGGAGTTACAGACAGTTGTTAGCTGCCATGTGGGTGCTGGGATTCTGCAAGAACAACCAGTGTTCTTAACCTCTGAGCCATCTCTCAAGCCCCACAAATGATTCCTTTGTCTTTTATTTATTTGTTTGAGAAAGTCCTTATTTTTTTCTTTAAAGGACTTGATTTTTTTTTTTATTTATGTACAAAGACAAGTATGATCTCTTTCACTGGTTTCAATGGGTAGATGGTGTTGAATTCATTCATTCCATGTTACTTATTCCAACTTAATGAAGCCTACTCCCTTCGGCACATGTTCAGCCCGTACTTCCAGATCATACAGTGGTGGTTAGAGCTGACACAGTACGAACAAGAACCCTGGCCAAATTTTCACAGTGACTCCAGTAGAGCTGCCGGTGACCCATCTTGTCTCCAGATGTCCAACAAGGGAAAAGTCTTCTTTTTCTTTTTTTACATTTAGAATTATATTTTTTGTCCTTAAAAATTCAAACACTTTAGTTTTTCTAACAGTAGCTTGTATTTATTACATGTTGCTTTTAAGATATATTCACATTTATCATGACATTTAAGTCACTAAGTAATGTTGAGCTATACAGCAATTGATTTCACTTTACAAATCAGAAGGCATGTCCAATATACCCAAGAATTTAGTTCTCTTCTCTATAAAAAGTTATGGTGGCGCACAGAGGCAGGCGAATCCCTGTGAGTTCAAGGCCAGCCTGGTCTACA